GGCGTTGGGCGGCTCCGGCTCCGGCGCGGATCAGGTGCGGCGCTACCGCACGGCGTTCACCCGGGAGCAGATCGCGCGCCTGGAGAAGGAGTTCTACCGGGAAAACTACGTGTCGCGTCCCCGCCGGTGCGAGCTGGCCGCGGCGCTCAACCTGCCCGAAACCACCATCAAGGTATCGATTCCAGTGCGCGCCGGGAGCCCGGACGCCCGGGTGATTAGTTTCTTTCCCGTTCTCCCTTTCTTGTGGCTAGATTTAGCACAGGGCCTGGAAATCCGTGGGAGGTTAGGCACCAAAGGCGTTGGCTTACAGCATTTATTTCTCAGGTGCCCAACGCCTGGCTGACCTAGGAAGGCTCTTGCGAGGCCTAGGACACAGACCAGCCCCTGCCTCCGCTCGGTTCTGCCCAGTGCCTGCCCAGACGCCCCTCACCGCACCTGTGGCCCGCTCTCCCCTGTGTGGCAAAGCCAGCTGGTCTTTGTTTCTCTGGCTCGAAGCTGGAGAGGCGCCTTTCATTTGCTCTTCTTCTGGGATATTTATTTTGCACATAAATCGTTAATACATGGAGAAAAGGATACTGTATTTAAAAAAATCTATGGGCCCGAGAACGTAGTTTCTTAAACATTTTTGTTTTCTCTCAGGCAACAAGAGAAAGGCAATCTCTTGGGAGAAAAACGCAACGAAATTGTCCTCATTTATATATCTATTTAGGTTATTCATTTTATTATACATCCGGGGGACAGAGCCAGGAGATAGGGCCACTTGGCGAATAGTTCTCGAAGCATTTGATACTCTAGAAAAAGAGAAAACTCCATGGGATAGGAGAAGGGTGTGGGGCCCTCTCAGTCTGATCAGGCTTTATTTAATTTGGAGTTGTGACGAATGATATCTTTATTAGCTTCGGTGTTAGGAGGGACAGAAAAGTCCCCTTCCGGGTTTATGGGGACCTTGCTCTCCTCACTCATTTAGAACAAATATTCCAACAAATTTACCCCTTCAAAGCCATAATAGGACCCGAGCCTCTAGGGGCAGGTCCTTGTACGCTTCAGGCTCGACACCTCCAGCGGTCACCTCTCAGAAAAGCTGCAGCCCAGCCTCTCTTCCAAGGCTGCTCAGAATCCGAGTACAAATCCAGGGATTGAGAGGCGGGTGCTCAGCGGGGCTGGGGGCGCCGGTGGGTGGCGGGAGGGACAGAAAGGTTGAGTTGAGACCAGAAAACACAGTGAGAACGAAAAGATCGGAGCCCCAGGAGCTGCGGGCGGAGGGCGAGGGCGGGGTGGAGGGGGAGGGCAGGGGGG